TGCAGGAGCTGTGGCTTAACAAACTAGATTGGGATGAGTCAATTCCAATGAATCTGGAAACAGCTTGGAACTTTCTTAAAGGAATCATTGGGTCAGTTGGAGAAGATTGCCATACCTCGCTTTGTGCATACTGATCCCATGTCACCGATTCAAGTACATGCCTTTGCCGACGCCTCCATGAGAGCGTATGGAGCATGCGTCTATATCCGTAGTTAGACTGCAGAAGGTTTCAAGGTCACGTTGTTGAATGCTTCCAAGGCTTGAGCTATGTGCCGCTCACCTTCTCGCAGATCTCTGTCACCGACTCAAATCGCTACTCGAGGTGCCGATTGAACGAATGGTATGTTGATCGGATTCGGAAGTGACCCTTCATTGGATCCGATCCCACACTTCGTCGTTATCAACATTCGTTGCGAACCGAGTAGTTGAGATTCAGGAGTGGTCAGATGATGCTACGTGGCGGCATGTTCCAAGTAAACAGAACCCAGCAGTCATAGTTTCGAGAGGTAGTGACATTGAGGAGATTTCGCAGTCGATCTGGTTTAGTGGACCAGCGTTTTTGAAGGAAGAAGAAGAGAGCTAACCCAGAAACCCCCACTTCGAGCTTTCTGAGGAAGAGCTGGCAACCAGGAAAATAGCGGTCGGACTGACCGTGGCAGCTATATCAAATGGTTTAGTGTATGTAATCGAGGAATACTCGTCACACATCAAACTGCTAAGATTGTTTGTTTTCCTTTTCCGCTTCATCCGAAAATGCAAAGACAGAAATATTAAATTTGAAGTCAATCCGTCACCAGTAGAGTACGATGAGGAAGATATCGAAAAGGTTCATAAAGGCACCAGGTTAGGTCCCAGTCAGCGATTAAATCCCTTAATCAATGAAGAAATGGTGCTCTTTATCGTTCCTATGTCATACAATGCCAAGTTTCCTCAGTTGTTGACGGAACGCGCGCAGTTTGTGCAGACCATTTCTCGCTATCTGCATCAAACGAATTTTCATGCCGGCCAACGAGCACTTGTGATCAACCTTAGGCATCATGATTGGATAGTAAACACTCAAGAGGTCTGCCGGGCCACAGTCAGGTCGTGCACTCGCTCCTTTAAATGCAAGCCTCGACTCCAGACCCAAATATTGGGAAATCTACCCGCCGGGTAGATTATTTGGCGTTATTTGTCTGTTTTGCGTCCAAGGTGGTTCATCTAGAAATTGTATCCGATCGGACAACTAACTCTTTCTTCTTGGCTTTTAAAAGGTTCGTTGGTCGTCGTGAAGTCCGACTAGAGTGAACTGCGACAACGCGACAAATTTCGTCGGAGCCAGTTGCCACTTCGACAAACTACGGACGAGCATCGAGGCAGAGTCGGACGCTCTCTGCGGGTCTGCGGCAAAAAGCGGGTGCGGGTTTGCATTCCTGCCACCTCGAGAACCGCACATGGGCGGACTGTGGGAAGCCGGAGTGAATGACAAGTGGTCTCTAGAGTGCTCGACAGTTCTGTGAGGCCTTTGTGTTGATATACTCCAAGCATTTCCTGAACGACAGTCTGGTGTCCAGCATGATCCCTAAATATTTGAGCGCACTTTGGCTGTCTCCACCTTCTTCTTACTGCTGATCAGCACTGCATCGATTTTGTGAGCAGCTAGCTGGAGTCCCGCTACGGCCAACCACGACTCCGCGGCTTGGATTGCCTCGTTTGCTGTTGCTTCAGCCGCTTCCAGGTGCTTCGCCACATCGTCGGCGAATCCTATGATCGTCGTGTTCTCTGGCAGGTGTAGTCGGAGGAGACCGTCGTATATGGTGTTCCACAAGAGCGGCCCAAGTACCGACCCCTGAGGAACTCCACAGGGGTTCTCCACATCGTCGCCACATCGTCGGCGAATCCTATGATCGTCGTCTTCTCTGGCAGGTGCAGTCGTATATGGTGTTCCACAGGAGCGACCCAAGTACCGACCCCTGAGGAACTCAAGCAGTTATCCCGTATGTTCTCGATCCCTTGCTCGTCTCGTACGTCAGCATCCTGTCGCTGAGGTAGCTGTCCACCATTCTCCGAAGATATTCTGTGATCCGAAGTGTGCGTAGAGCCTCCAGAGTTCTTGCCCAGTCTGCCGTGTTGAAGGCGTTTTTAATATCGAGGGTGACCAGTAGAAAATATGTACTGATTCTGTTGCCCTCTCTCCAACGGGTTCCACCGATGGCATTCTCCGCAATGGTTGTGACCTTGTCGATTGCATCAAGCGTCGATCTCTTCTCTGTTTGGAATTGCGTCGGGTCCATTCCCGCTTGCTATTTCGGATTGCGTTTTTTAGCACTTTTTTAGATCTACTGTCCAGTAGGAAATAAATGTAATCATGCAGACCTCTAATGATCCATATATAAATTCACTTTAACAAAAACTTACATTTTCTTGTTGTTCGCGTTGTTTTCTTTACAAGCCATGTCAACGTTTTGCAAACTACTACACACATATTCTCTCCAGACACTCAGTTGCACAGTTGTGTGACAGAGCACACAGTATGAACTTATTATTTTGTTTGGTGACCATCAATATGTTGTACACTTTTTTTCCTGGTTATAGAATACAGTACTGTACAGCAAGAAATGAGTGCAGTACACTACTGTACAGTACTGTCCAGTAGGAAATGAATGTAATCGTGCAGAGTTCTGTTTGAAATTTTTTTCTATCATCTGGTAGAACTACAACTGACGGCAAATGTTTTCGCAATTTGCCCAGGTTAGGTTAGGTTGAGGCGGCTGTCGGGATTGTCAGAGACCCGACACACCTAGGTTTCGGCCCATTGTGATACCGCATATATCGTTAATTACCTTACTCCGAATTCGGCTTTACAGTCCTAACTTCGAAAGTCCGAATCAAACTAGGTGGCGCCCTCGGACGCCCGTGGATTGAGGGACAAATGAGAAAGGCAGCGGATTGGATAGTGATTTACTAAAATACTTATATTATTAACTTAACATGTACATATGTATAATGTTAAATTATTTGGATGAGGGTTCATGTAATGGAATGTAAGATTCTAATTGTTTTGAGTGTGTTTTATTTAATCTAATCGCTGGATCAATAGTGAGCGATTTCGAATCAGAGTAAAAATCGGTGTGTGGCATCGTGGAATGAAATTGAAGCGAAATTCAAGCGGAAATGATTTCTGTGGCACCCCTGTATGTCACGATTTTTCTTGAATTAAAGTACAAATTAAAAAAATACCTACAAAAATGATTAATTTTTCATTTAAAAGCTTGATATTTCCCATACGGTAAGCTGTAGCTACAAAGTGCTGAAGTCTACTTTTAAAATTTATCAGCATTTCAGATTGGCAAAGTTCATTACAACCAGATTAAAGTTATGTGAAAAATTAAAGCGCTACCTATTTGAAAACCCTAAATTTATCAGAAAAAGTCCGTTTGGTTGCGTAGCGTAAATAAAAAGTTCAATTTTGTTAAGTAGTTTAATTTAAAACTTTGTTCTCATCGCAAACTGTATCGATCGATTTGTATGATACCAATTCACCTGGCAAGAAATGCGCTATATTCAAGTTTAAATTGTTGACGTCCACATTTTTTGCTGCCAAATTTTTTATTTCTGCCAGTCATGCATGATTTCAGTATAGTGCTTGCACATCTGGCCATACACGTCCAGTGAGAGCATTTTGTCAATCAAGAATTATATTGGCAATTTTGTACAGCCTGTATTTTCATTAATAGCAACTTCTCCATCGCCTATATCTAATAATTGTTTTGAAAATGTTTCAGTATATTATCGAATATTGGAGAGCGTTTTCTGTCCTCACCGCCTATGAAGTATAAGTATAAAAGCTTATGTGAGCGGATGGCTCGTACTCCAATGCAAGACGAAGAAACGAGGCGGATGTAAATGCTCGATGTAATTGTTGGCGTTCTCGGTAATTTTCTTTAAGAGTACAGTGAGCCATCGCGCTTCTCTCCGTTTCAATTGAATATCTTGATTTCGTTCATTTCGTACCTCTTGGGATTGAGATTCTCGCAATGGAGACACGAATATTTTCGTTATCTTCTGGGTTTATTTCGCTTGTTCTTTCTGTTCTACTATTCTGCATGTTTGTTGTATTACTTATTCGATAGTGCAGCTGGAACTCTAGCGTCTTGCTGGTATTGTTCACTGTAACACACAAACACAATTTAACCAATTTCACAAAACACGTAAAAAACACACAGAAAAATATTAGACTATTTCAGGTCTAATTTATAGTTCCATTTACACTACCCGACACAATTCCCCGCTTCAAACCAAACCATCATTTTTTGATAGATCTGGGGATTTAAACATGCTTAGTCATAATTTTTTTATTTTCTATCGCAGAACTTTTTTTTGAATAAAGTTTGAATACTGTTATTTTTTTTTAAGATTTTTCAGAGGTAGCGCTTAATTTTTTCACATAACTTATCTTACATTTGGCTCTAGTGAACTTTGCATTCTGAAAAGCTATGAAATGCAGCTATAAATAAAAACTAAACACTAACTGATTTCAGCTTACGGTTTTAATCCCTCCGAAAATCCCATTTGTATAGCTGCATCAATTAGCTTTTCAGAATGTCAAAGTTCTTTGCAACCAGATGTAAGACTCTTGAGTTACGTAAAAAAAAGAGCAATACCTCTGAAAAGCGCATACAAAAAAATAAGTTTTGTTCCATAGAGGATCTTCGATATCCATCAAGAACTTTTCTTTGAGAATGTATGGTGCAAACAAAAAAAAATTCTAAAGGAACCATATATACGTACACACATACGCAAATATATATTCCAAATTCGTTTTATTAAAGTATACATAAAAGATTAATACACGTTATACATAAAAGATAATACAAAAATAATAATATTAAAGAGAACAAAAAAAAATTATGTATTTGCCTTTGTCGTCTGGGTCCATAACCGTGGTTAAAATGTCCTTGTCCATTTCCTTTTCTTGGTTGTTTTTTTTTTGTTAGCTATGGCGTTGGCTTTGTTTTTTCGCTTAGCAAAATCTAACCGAGTATCTCTCATATAATCTGTGAAGCAATAGCACTCCATCTATGTATTGAGATTCTGAAAAAAATATAGACGGAATTCTAAATTTTTTTAAATTTTGTTCATGTCGAGATTTTTATACCCGTACACAAAAAAGAATTAAGGGGTATATTAAATTTGTGGTAAAAGTGGATGTGTGTAACGCAGAGAAGGAAACGTTTCCGACCCCATTAATTATATATATTCTTGATCAGCATCAATAGCCGAGTCGATATAGCCATGTCCGTCTGTCCGTCCGTCTGTCTGTCCGTCCGTCTGTCTGTCCGTCCGTCTGTCTGTCCGTCCGTCTGTCTGTCCGTCTTGTTGAGCGCCTAGGACAACCAAATTTGGTTTCCAGGCTCATGTGATATCACACTGCTATAAATGTATTTCAAAATTTCGCACCGCCCCCTTCCGCCGCCACAAGGGACTAAAATCTTTGGCAGGCACAATTTTAAAGATACAATGAAACTAAAAACGCAGTATCGTAGAGAATACCCATATCTACCAAAATGCCAAAAATTTAATGTAGCAAAAAAATGTAAAATGTAACATTTTTTTTTTTTTTGTATTCTAAAATTCTAAAAAATCATATGCTCAAAAATGTATATACTGACTGAGTACGGGTATAAGTAGAGTCGCGTCCCCAGAAGCGACTCGCACGTTCCTTCTCGTTTAATAAAAAAAGGTTGTTTTTTTTGGTATATATTTTTTTAGAGGATGTTCTTCTTCTTTCACGTGAATTAATTATCTGGGTGTAATGAATTTTTGAAGTCTGAAAATTGATAAAACTACTCACCAAAACTGATTTTGTTTTCCGCTTCGAAGCAAATCGACTTTTTCTAATAGATTGGGAGTTTTAAATTCATTTTAAATAACTATGTTTCTTATGCTCTTTTCACAGGTAACGCTCTTTTTATTCATGTAATTCAAGTATCTTAAATCTGGTTGCAAAGAACTTTGCAATCCTGAAAAGCTAATTTATGCAGCTATACAAATGGGATTTTCGGAGGGTTGGTCAACCAATTTTAGATTCGGCGTCTCTCCATAGATATTAACCAGCAATGCCTTAAACGACGCCGAATTAATGCACATATACACAAAAAACGAGAGGGAAAGTGTGAGTCGCTTCTGGGGACGCGACTCTACTTATACCCGTACTCAGTCAGCATATACATTTTTGAGCATATGATTTTTTAGAATTTTAGAATTAAAAAAAAAATTGTACACCACATTTTTTTGCTTCATCTGTTAACTACATCTACATCTACCAAGGATATTTTACATCTAACATGTGGTTTATAGATGTTCCATTTAGATTCTACATCTCCTCCGCTACGGGTTGCTCGCGCACTGAACGAGGCAGAGTGTGCGAGCGAGAAAGAGATAGGTAGCGGGTCTCTGTCAGGAGGCGGCGGAAGAACCAATAGAAAATTAATTTCTTCATTCTGGCTATAATTATGATCCGATCTAATTCAGATTCGGCAATCTGGTAGATATGGCATTCTCTACGATACTGCGTTTTTAGTTTTATCGTATCTTTAAAATTGTGCCTGCAACAGATTTTCGTCCTTTGTAGGGGCGGAAGCAGGCGGGGCGAAATTTTGAAATATACTTGTAGCAGTGTGATATCACATGAGCCTGGAAACCAAATTTGGTTTCTCAAGCTTATAGTCTTCTTATAGTCTCTTAGATCCAGGCGCTCATCGAGACGGACAGACGGAGAGACAGACAGACAGACGGACAGACAGACATGGCTCTATCGACTCGGGTATTGATGCTGATCAAGAATATGGGGTCGGAAACGTTTCCTTATCTGCGTTGCAGACATCCACTTTTACCACAAATACAATATACCCCTTAACTCTTTTTTGAGTACGGGTATAATAAAGAATGCAGAATCCACTTTAGTAAAAAATAACGCACAAAAATCCTCATTTTTGAATTTGAAAGCTTAATGTTTCCCAAACCGTGAGTTGAAATCACTAAGTGTTTAGTTTTTATTTATAGCTGCATTTTATAGCTTTTCAGAATGCAAAGTTCATTACAACCAAATGTAAGATAAGTTATGTGAAAAAATGAAGCGCTACCTATGAAAAAGCTTTAAAAAAAATAGCAGTTCTCAAAAATTATTAAAAAAAAGTTCTGCCATTGAAAATAAAAAAATTATCACTAAAAATATTTAAATCTATAAAAAAAGATGGTTTGGTTCGAAGCGGGAAATGGTGTCGGGTAGTGTAAATGGAACTATAAATTAGACCTGATATAGTCTAATATTTTTCTGTGTGTTTGTTACGTGTTTTGTGAAATTGGTTAATTTGTATTTGTGTGTTACAGTGAACAATACCAGCAAGACGCTAGGGTCCACGCTGCACTATCGAATAATTAATGCAAAAAGCACGCAGAATAGTGGAACAGAAAGAACAAGCGAACAAGCGAACAAATCCAACAAATCTCCATTACGTGAATCTCAATCCCAAGAGGTACGAAATTAACGAAAGTCCGCTCTGTATTTGTGCACTGACGTTATGAAAGGCACAACAATTTTTTACAATGTACTTGACACATTTTTTTATTCTTGTGTCCCACTTTCTTGTCCGGTTAGATCTGGAAAGCTTTCTTGGTTTACCAAAAGAGTCTAAAAAACTTAAAATCAAGACTTTATAAAAAATTTCGAAAAGTTGGTTCTCCCTCTTCTCTTTCTCACTATGTAATAGCTCGGTCAAATTTCTCCGTTCTTAACGCTCAATGCTATAGAAACTAACTATCTCGATGCAGGATATGATTTTCACAGGACCCTAAACAGTGTTAAAGCTTCGTAAATAGTAAGCGTAGAACGTCCGCACATCCATCCTCGCTATCATTCCTCAATATGGCAGCAAACAATGATCAGGCAATTGCCGATCTTTTTGCCTAATTTTTCCAAACAACCTATTCTCATGAAAGCTACTCTGGTCAGCCGTATCCATACAGTTTACCAAGGTCGAATGGCATTTTCAGCCCCTTGTTAAATGAAAGCTCACTGCTTCACGATCTTCGACTAGTTAAGCCGGTGTTTTCAGGTCCTGACGGAGTTCCCGGCCGTGTACTCAGGTACTGTGCTGACGCTCTGTGTAGACCCTTGCTTAAACTATTCATCCTATCCATTGACTCTTCATGCTTCCCCCCCCCCATCTGGAAGGAATCTTTTATTATTCCGCTCCATAAGAAAGGTAGCAAGTCTTATGCAAATAATTATAGAGGTATATATAAGTTATCCGCTTTTCCTTAAATGTTTGAAAAAAATTTAACTCCGCATTTGCCTCATATCTGCAAATAACTTATATCTCCGTCTCAGCACGGATTTATAAGGCGACGATCAACAACTACAAATTTATTAAAGTTTACCTCTTTTATCATTAAAGGCTTTCAAGGTAACTTGCAGACGGATGTCATTTACACTGATTTTAGTAAAGCATTTGATTCTGTAAACCATTCCCTTTTAGCACAAAAACTTGACCTTTTAGGGTTTCCGCCTAATCTTTTGAGATGGATTTCTAGCTACCTTTGTTCTAGGTCTCAAGGAGTCCTCTTCAAAAACTCCTTCTCTTCACCTGTTAAGGTTACTTATGGAGTACCACAGGGCAGCCATCTAGGCCCCCTACTATTCACACTCTTTATTAATGATCTGCCTTCAGTATTAACAAACTCTCGAGTACTCATGTATGCGGATGATGTTAAACTTTGTGTCCAGTATAAGGACATTTCATTTCACTCTCGCTTGCAATCCGATCTCAATAACTTTCAATCATGGTGTTGTGCAAATATGTTACGCCTAAATGCCTCGAAATGCAAAGTAATGACATTTCATCGCTCCAGCCCCCTATTGGCTCCTTATAGCCTCTGCGGTGGTTCTCTTGAGAGAATTACCTTGGTTGATGATCTTGGTGTTAAACTAGACCCAAAGTTAAAGTTTTCTGAACACATTTCAAGCATGGTAAATAAGGCCATGGGCGTGCTTGGATTTATAAAGAGGTGGTCAAAGGAATTTGACGACCCCTATATAACGAAGACTCTCTATATCTCGCTTGTTCGTCCGATTTTAGAGGCTCTTGTGTATGGTGCCCCCAGTACAAAGTACACCAGGACCGTATAGAATCAGTCCAGAAAAACTTTTTACTTTTTGCTCTGCGTGGCCTTAGCTGGGATGCAGGTGTGAGACTGCCATCTTAACCTCATAGATTGCTTTTAATAAACCTTCCAACCTTAGTTAGTCGTAGAAAAATGCTTGTGGTGATTTTTATGCACAACCTGATCAAGGGTGACGTAGATAGCCCTGACTTGTTGAGCCGCATAAACTTTACGATTCCTGTTAGATCTACTAGAAACTTCATTCCTTTGTTCCTTCCGCTTTGTAGATCGAATTATTCCTTGCACGAACCATTTAGGGTCCTTTGCTCGGACTTCAATTCCCTCTACCACATAATATCCACTACTAATTCCCTTCCTCTTCTTAAATCACTAATACTAACATACCGTTCCCGTAATTAGTACTATTTCTTAGCTATCTTTGCATGTTTAGCCTTTGAGTTGAGTTTAGCTCTAATTTTCCTCGAATTTTAGTCTAACACCTATCTTTCCTGCATGCTTGCGATCGGTTCGGTAACACGCTTCGCGCGTCATGCGGCAGCGCCCCTCGGTCGGTCGGGCGGGAGGAGGGGCTGCGTTTCTGCCTGGGTTCCGCGCGTAACAGGCTTCGGCTTGGTGTCGCAAGGGCCACTTGATGGTGCAGTCATTGCATATCAACGTCCAGACAATCCAGGTTTGTGAAAAAAAAAAAAAAAAATGATGATGAAGAGAACAAAGAAAATGAGGTCCTAGTAGAAGTATATTTCCCTCTCCGCGATAGTAGTGGTTTTTTTTTTATGAGTTTGTAGGTGGCGACGCAGGCGTCGGCAAGAGTAGAACAATATCTTCCATTTTTCAGACCATTTCTCAGGATCTTAATCGTATACCAGGATCTGACCCAAATACTGTAAAAGTACTTCTGTGTGCTCCCA